ACTAGTACATTACTAGATTATAGGCAATGTTTTAATAATTTAATTTTAAATAAATGGAGGAGGTACATGGAACACGCTATGAAATCTAAACAAAATATCTCATTACTGTACTGGGCTATCCATCGACTGGTTATACCATGGTTTGAATGGAATGTAATCCATTGAAAATGAAAGGCACTTTTAATCATGCCTCATCAGTCAATAGGTACATGAACGATCTTCATCATTACCATATGGACAACGGCGTCTCCAAGTCTAGGTAACGATGACAGTAGCCATCCCATGTTAAATCGCAAAAAAAGAAATCCAATCCGCCCCCATTAAATACGACTGTCGGCCTACATTTTATGTAATTAACGTCTGATCTAATATATTACGTACCTAGGCCTATGTGGTTGGCTACGGATAGCCAAGTGTAGAGTATGAAAAGCTAAAAAATTCATATGTAAAGGAAAATCATTCTAGACCAATGCTGAAAAGCTAACGTCTCAAAATAGAACAAAAATTCCATGTGGGACCTTGCTATCATGTATCTAACAGCAACGTCCTCGTCATCAACCACACCACAGTGCGGCAACACGAAATGTGCTGTACATACACTCATCGCTACTGACTGATTTGAATGTGTGGTTTAATACACATAAAAGCAACTTGTAGCCTACATCTATCTGATCTAGACTAGGGCCTAGGCCTACACACATGTAGTGTACGTACCCAGCCAGCCTATTCGTCTTCGTCAGGCCAGCCTGCATTACAGTACATTGACACGAAATGTGCTGCACACTCATCGCTACTAACTAAATTGAATATTATGTGGTTTAATACACATAAAAGCAACTTGTAGCCTACATTTCCTGTTATCTGATCTATTACACACACGTACTACCCAGGCAGCCTATAGTTCGACTTTCTCTAGCTCAGGCCAGCCTGCATTACAGTACATTGTTTATCTCTCAGAGGAGAGACCACCCACCCTTGCAAGCACCACAAAACGGCTCATTCTTCGCTACCAACTAGACTCGTGCAGACACATTTATTAGCTGCAAAGCTTACCATTCCAGGCCGTGATTGGTTGATAAACACAATGTGGAATATACAGGCGATTTGCAATCTGATCAATGACGAACACGCTTTCATAGGAAACCCACCGTAGTGTTAAGAGATATGATATAAAAACATACATTTTCACATATTTCCCGACAATATTTTCACAAAAACTCTTCATACTTTAAATTCCCCAGGGCCTTTTCTTCCACATATTATTATTGCAAGATAGGCCTAATCGCGTCACAAACAAAGGAAGAGATAGAAAAACGAATGACTTCAAAATTTCGCTCAGAATCATCATATAAGCCCTCTCTCTCAGAGAGTGGTCTAACAATGACAGACAGATTTAGAAAGTTACAGTATATCAAAAAAAAATATATAAACATTTTCTTGTAATTTTAAATTAAATGCTAATACCTTACTTAAAGGAATTTACCTCAATGCACATAACATAACTTTATATTTATGCATGTTATATTTACAAAATTAATATTATCATAATTAATTTACTGTAATTATAATTTGATTTGGTTTGCCTTAATCAGTGCAAACATACCATACAAAAATCTAATACCAATTTGACCATTAATATTAATATATATGACTGGTTATAAAATTACAAAACCAATAAAATATGTTGATATACAAAAATAGTTCAACAATATTATATAACATAAATATCATACCTTTAACATCGACTACTGCAATTTCAGGTGTACCGTTATTTGCTGGCTGGCCAGACCTTGCTAAATCTGTTTCTTCGATATTCTTCACAGGTTGTCCATTATCCCCATCTTTATCTTCTTTTACTTTACCATCTTCATTGATGGATTGCTTCACATCATCTTGATTTATTTGGACATCACCTTCATCAGCAGTAGTTGCAATCTCTGGTTGCTCAAGCACACCCTCAGTGTCCACCATTGCATGTTCTGGTTGAACAGTAATACTTTCAGGTTCACCATTCAAAATCACTGCATCTTCTGTTGCTAGACCTTGTCTGTCTGACTGTGTTTTTTCATAAACATCTACATCACCAATTTGATGTGAGGGCAGAGGTTCTGCTAAATCATTTTGTGAAGTATCTAAAGGTATATTGTCTGTACCTTCACCTGGCGCTTGGATAACTTTTGATGATGACATACTCTGGGTTTCATCTTGATCTGTGATGACATCTTCATTGACATCATCATTCCCTTAGGGTAAAAATATTCCATTAACCATAAGATAATCAAATGCAAAAAGCTTTTTACTTTGGGCATTGCCTCTTTCAATATACTTTTATCATTTATTACTTTACAGATTAAGCATCATATTTGTTAAACATAACTTGTATAAACGACATAAATGAATACGTGAATGAATGAATAAAAAGCTTATGTCCCCAATGCAACTTGACTCAACTACTGGCTGTGCTTATTTCAACTTTCATCCACAATAGCACAACTACACAGACCTGCAAGCCCAGAGTGTTTATGGCGCTTCCAACTAAGGACTATCTGCAATTAGTTACCATGAAACGATAATGTATATCCAATGTTAGTGAATGCTATGGCGGCCATCTTGTTGAGAACACATACAGAACTCTGCACTGCACAACCTAGTTGTTATAATAGCTCAATGGCTCCAACACATTACTGTAGTCACAGACAAATTTTTGTTATTTTTAACTCATTAATATTCAGCCTTTGAAAAGGATGCTGAAACATTTCCTCAACCTGGGATTAAAGTATTAATTTAGCAAAAATATAAGAAAATCATTAGTTACCGAATTCACTAGCACTAGCAAGACTATGAACATAGGAGTTTCCAATTGCCAACATGTCACCATCAGGCCCCATGACAACACTACTGGAACTACTTTTAACACCTGCTTTGTAGGTCACCATGCTTTTTTCCTGCCACTTTGGCATATATCCACCCTTTACTCCGATACTAATATCACTTGAAGGCTGTGCTAGACTCTCTACGCTACCATGCATACTCTTTCCTACTGTCACTGATAAATCTGAAACAGGAACTACAAAAAAAAAAGAACAAATTGTTTTATTACACATTAAAACATATATTATCTTCATGAATACAGATGTTAAAAACGAAGAATAACAGGTAATTTCTACTCAATCAATGGATAATACTTGTGCTTTCTTTGTAAGCAACCACTTAATCTTCTGTTTTTGTTCAAACTTCAATTTGAATGTCACAAGGATAAATAGTATGAATCTATTTGTCGTAACTGTATTCGTTGAAAAAAGAGTAATGAGAAAACACACCCTAATGATTTTAAATGAAGAACCTGCATTGTACGAAAAGCACTATGAGCCAGGTACCCACTGCACTGTACGACATTCATACGACCACCAGCCGATGAATCTAACTCCGTTCCAATATGTGTACATATCCCCAGAAAGGCAACCCGACTTTTGGGGCAAAAAGTCAGGTTGCACGTGACTAACATGATCAGCTAAGTAAACAATATTTTTTGTTCAAAGGATTATCATTGGGGATTAACAAAGCAGGACACGCTATTAAGCGGACCGCCCGTGGTGGAATAAACAGCAACATTAGGTCCATGAATTAACAAAATCTTGTTTCAATATCAATCCGCAAATTACTTAGGCCTATTTTTATAGGTACCCTTATATTCCTGTATTACCTGCGTATTCCTGTATAGGCCGCACATTTTAGACGCGATTTCAACCCAGAAATTTGGGATCTGATGCTGTTCATGCACCGGTCATACCTACTCTTAAATATTCCAGATTGCGAACACAGGCGAAAATCGTAAATAAGTTAGGCCAAGGCTCATTTTTATTAGTCTAGCTAGGTTTGCTGATCTATTGTTGTAATATACCCACTACAGTGCTGTACTAGGATTCCTACTTTCTCTACAACATTCTTTCTTTTTTTCTTTCTTTCTTTTATTGTTTATCCTGGGGGACTGCTCAGGGAATAAAATCCCTGGTCCTCCGCATATCCCAGCAAAGAAAATAAAAAACAGTGAAACATTTCATAAAACAAAAAACATTGAAATACAAAAAGCTGTACTCACGTGACCTGTGACAGTTTTATAAAATAATTTAATAATAATTGATTCAATCAATAATTATTATTATTTTCGTATTACTGTACATTCATTCATAAACAACGTTTGAAAAACTGTCAAGGTCACGTGAGTATTGCTTCACGAAACATCGTCACAAAATGCACATGGCCGGTTGAAACACTCTGAACGACGTCTGGTTATAGACGCCTGCTACAGTTAAATTACAGTCAACAAAAGTATTACAACTTCAAGGAAATCTGTGTTTTTATAGCACACATTAATTTCACATTAATTTTTTTTATTCTAAAACAAAACACTACATAGCGGATCATGCTGTCTATAACTGCTCTAGCCTACTGGCAACCAGGCGTCGTAATACGAGTTTGCTTAACTCACGTGATCTCGAGGACCGAAAGAATAAATACTGTAGTGTGTTATTGTTTAGCAAAAGGGGGGGGGGGGAATAATGTGTATCAAACTTTGTTTATGAATGAACGTAACATGAAAATAATCTGTTAAACAAAACAATTGCTTGAATGTCGTAGAAAATGTAGCAATTCGGAGAGTATAATTACAAATACTAGGCCAGCAAACCTAGCCTAGGCTAATTAATTGGGCTAACCTGGGCCTAACCTAGGCGATTTTTGCCCCGGTTCTCGATCCGGAAAGTTTTACGAGTAGGTTGACGATCGGAGCATAGATAGGCCTTACCCCAAATTTCAGGGTTGAAATCGCGTATAAAATTCGCGGCTTTATAATATATATATATATATA